TTTTTGCTGGGCCAATCTTTGGCCCTTGCACGGGCGGGCCGCCCAGTCAGACAAGGTGATCCGGGCGGCCCCACTGGTAGCCTAGTTTTTTGCGTAATTGAGGACAGAGATATGTCCACTGGTGGAATCATCATGTCTGGAATGACCTGCAGAACCACAGACTGAGAACACTCCTGATGTCTCAGTTTTGCCGCCGGAATGTGTGCTTTGCTGAGATTCCCGCTTTTTGCTCAGTTTTCTAAGTCTGTGTGTGAGGGTGCTTGCTGGTTCACGTGTCTGTCTGAGTGCCTGCCTGCTTGACTGTGGGTGTGGCCCGCTTGGGCACTCGTTTGTTCGGGAGACCCACGAGGCCGGTACTTATGTGGCCGTGACGTTGAGGGTTGGAGCGGGGAAACACTCAAGTGGCTGAAGGAGTAGCTTAGGTTAGGGGCACACTGAACTAGCGGGAGGCTAGGCCCGTAGGCACTTGAGTAGTGGTAGGCCAAGCAGAAGAAGGCAAAAAGTTAGGACCTTGAGAGGTTGTGTGAATTTTAGAGAGTTCCGTAGGCCCAGGTCTAGGTATCAGTCCTGAAGTCTGAGTCTAGGGCATGTAGCGGACGATATCAGACCTGCAATGATATTTCCCTCTGAAAGGGAGGAGGTACTGGTTGCTTGGAGGCTGCACGGCCAGGAAGTCACCGGCCATGAGGCTGGTTGGCCGGTATGTCTCCAGGAGGAGGAGGAGCGAGTTGCTCCTCCTCATTTGCTGCATGCAAGTTTGGGTGTCACACTGCTGGAGCGCCTGGTGGCAGAGCGCTTGTGTGCAGCGCTGGGGAGAGGAGCAACAGGGCTTCCCCCTCGGCTCTGGTGGACAGCGCCTGGCAGGAGGAGGAAGAAGGGGACTAGGGAGGAGAGAGGCCAGGGGTACTTACCTGGCTATGGTGGAGGCCATCTTCATCTCCTTGGTAGGTGCTGTATCTGGAAGGCCCCAAGTGGGGTAGCGCTGCATCAAGAAGGCTTTAGGGCAGAGCCAGGCATGGCGGCGTGCGGTGTCGAGGACATAGCTGCTTTTGCATTGTCTTTTGAATATCAGGGCAGGGCCCCTAGTAGTGCGCCATACCCATTACCTGCGGAGGTGGAGGAAGATGGAGGTCATGGCTATGGTGGACCTCTTGTTGTGCTGGCAGTAAGAGAGGGATTCAGACATTGGTTCTGTTCAGCCGTTCATTGTTATTATTATTATTATTATTATTATTAGTATTATTATTTTTATTATTCATTGTTGAATAAGAGAGGAGGAGATTGGTTGGCGAGTGAACGTGGATTTGTCATTGGTCTATTGCTGGTGTACATCTTCTTCTTCTTTCTTCTTCTTCTCCTTCCTTTGTCTCTTTCTCCTCTCAAGTTCTTTCATTTTCCTTGCAATTGGACGGCATTGTATTTCCTTGTGAATTTGCACTTCGGAATTGGCCAAGGATTGTAACATGTCTGAATTATCTCGAGTGAAAATCGTGCTTGCACCTGTATAGCTATCGGTAGGTATCAGATGGCTGGATTGCCATCTGGGCAGTTTGGTATCCCCAGTATTTGGACACACTGGGAGACCAGATGCCTGCCTAGGATTCCAGTTATTCGAACATGGAAAGAACTGGGGGAAGATCAATATATGTATCTATAATGGCGGGGCGTTCTGTTCGGGTGAAGACGGTACGGATGGAGTATGATTCGCCATTAATGATGTATGGGTGGGACTCTATGGTCCCGAAGTCCCAAATGATCAGATCAGCTGGAGTGTCCAGAGATGGTGCCAAAGCAGAAAGCTTAGACCGATTTTCCTGCAGTCCTTTGGGACATCCGTTACAATTGGAACGATTCAGAGAAAGAAGATTAGCATGGCCCCTGCACAGAGAAGATTAGCATGGATGGCACGCATAAATCGACAAATGGTCCAACTTAACATAAAAAACAAAAGATTTTCCTGCAGCTCTTTTCCACATTTGAAAAGCAGGAATTCCAAACGTACATCAATATTTTCCCAGTTCGTTTCATGTTTGAATAACCGGAATTCCCAAGGTACATTCCTCAGGTGTTCCTGACAGGAATCTGGCCGGCCATTGTGTCCAAATACTCGCCATAGCGGACTGCCCAGATGGCGACCCAGACGTCCAAAACCTGGAAGACGGTAGTACAAAGAGTTCTTTTTGGCAATGTGGCAAAGTACCACTAGGTCCCGAGGGACCAGTGGTAGTGGCAGTCCAATTTTCTTGAGCACTATGGCTCTTTGCGATGCGCGCCTATCATCCGTTTAGTCTCTACTACGCTCCTGCTAATGTTCCCATGCCGAGAGTCTGAGACATCCTGAACCCTCCAATGTACAACCCAATTAACAGCCCATCGCCCCCGCCCTCGCCCCCGCCCCCGCGCCCCCTTCACATCCAATGGAGGCGAACTTAAGGGAATTGAACCCCCATCGACCTGATATGGGTTGGATTTCTGTGCGGTGGTTAATAGCCAACAACAAATGGGGGGAATTAGTGGCTGCAAGAAGCTGCAATGTGCTAACTGCATTTGGCAATGGGTATCCCAGGTGGTCTGGCACAGAGCATGCACGAGGGGGTGTGTATCGGTAAGGCCATCAGTGAGGCCGAGGGCGTGGCCGCCGTTTTCCTTTTTTTGACACAGTTCAGCCGTGGGGAGCACCACGTGCTGGGAACCGGATCGATGGGCTCTTGAATGCAACTTTGGTACCCTCTCTGAACGAGCTGGGCCCATCAGCCCTAACTGATTTTCTGGGGTAACATCTGGATGCCTAACTAGATTCTTTGTACAGTCTCATAATCATGTATGTTCATGCATGAGTAAATTGGTTCTTTGCGTGTCATCATGTGCATGCAATGCCACAAAAAAAGAAGTGATTGTGACCACCCGTTTCCTTGGGACTTCAACCAACCCGTTGGAAGGTTGAACCTCAATTGTCTGTCAAGGGTGCATTTGATTGGCGCCTTGTTCTGGAAGCTTATGTTAAAACACAAAAGTATCTTCGAGCCTGTTATTGCCGATGCAGATTCCTGTCGCTTGGCATTTAGCAATAAAAAGCAAACCGACACAGGTGCATTTTGTTTCGGCTGGCCCTGCCAGCCATTTCGGTCCGGTAGGCTTAGCCCGGAAAGATGCAGCGAACGAAAGACCGGGGAGAGGTGCTGGTGGTTTAAAGAACGTATTGGTTTTCCCGTTCGGGGAGCGCTGAAACTAGAAGTATGTGCACGGTTTTTGCTGCTACCTTCTTAAGACCGGGGATAGGTACTGGTGGTTTAAAGAACATATTGGTTTTCCCGTTCGGGGAGCGCTGAAACTAAAAGTATGTGCACAGTTTTTGCTGCTATCTTCTTCGCCGGAATACAAGGAATGGTAAGTATAGTTGTATCTGGGGTATCTTTCCGTCTAAATACAGAAATAATGACCGTAAAATGTATTCAGGTGAAGAAGGTAGGATTCATCTGCCATCCTTTTTTATTTGTCTGATTTTTGTGTGAGGCCCTGGGTCTGGATCACGCAGCTGCAGGCCTAGTCACGTCCTGACAGGGACCCAGTAGAGCTGCCTAGGACCTGGTACTAGGCCCCTTGCGGACTCGGAAGAATTCAGAAAGCAGAGCCTACAGACTGAATAAAGACATGGCCACAATTTTTGAAGTCAAGGCCGGGATCTTTAGTTATTAAGGAGCCGTATGAGGTAAAAGTTTAATGTACGGTTCTGTAGTAGAGATAAAAATTACATGATTTGTTTTTATAAACTACGATAATTATGCAAAACTTTTACTTTTGAGATTGTTGAACAACAGTGTCAATATGGTAGACATGCGTATACTCCTTTCATTCAACTAACTTCATTATACATATTCCAGAAAGAAACGGCTATGGCGAAATTGGCTTAGGCACCATACTTAGGATGTGGCGGCGCTTCGTGCCTTGTGGGTTCGAGTCCCGCTAGCCGTACACTAGAAACGAAGAGCGATATGTATGGTCAAGGCACTGAATGTAGAAAAAAATGAGAGTGTAGGAATTGTGGTTTCTGGTAGTTATACTGCCATTGAAGAAGGAAGGAGATATTGTCAAACATAGTGGATCTATTGTGTAGATGTTCCGGTAGGAAGACTTTATGTTGGGTCATGTGGGCAGGACTGCTTGGATCAGGATCACTGGCTTGGGAAGGACATCAAATACATGTTTCTATGCCTATTAATCAATTGTTAAATGTTGGAGTTTATCCTAAAGAAATTCTATTACCTCATGAATTTATATTAAATAATAAATAGAGATTTTGTAGCCCAATTATATCCAAGCTTTAAGGGTGGCTTGAGACCTTTTTTTTACTTTGAATTGGTGAGCATACTCAGATTTGCTGACTTTTGGGGGAGGTCTTAATCCAGTAACAGCAGGACTTTGGTTGAGTGATACTGCACACCATCATCTAGCTATTGCTGTTTCATTTTGAGAGATTATGACTTTTCTTCTTGAAATTGTGAATTTCAGTAGGATATAAGGGCCTAAATCTTTTTCGTATGATCTAGAAAAACCTGCCAATCTGTAGCAGTAACTCAATTCTCTGACTAGGTACAGGGTTGGAGAGGGTGACGGTGACCATCTTGCTTCCACTTTCACACCTGCTCAGTCAATCCTCTGGTTTCCAGAGCAATCAATGTTGGCAGGTTCCCTCCAGACACCATCCAGTTCTCCTTCCAGGCTGAATCTACTATGTAAGGGACGTTGGACCCGTTTTCCAGCAGGTGACGCTCCCCACCAATAGATGGAGCCTGCCCCCAGGTGCTAGGTGATCCAGCCGCACATTTGCTTACTTGAATGCAAGCTACTACTAAGTGGGCCAGAGACTGACAACCAGTGAAGGAGGATTAGAGGTCGGCGATACTGGGGATAAGGTGTCGGCAGAGAAAGACGGACCCATCAATATGTCTGAAGGGCCGAGGTTGGTGATTTTGGGGATAAGGTGATGGCAGTGAAAGACGGACCCATCAATATGTCTCAAGGGCCGAGGTTGATGATTTTGGGGATAAGGTGTTGGCAACGAAAGGCGGACCCGTCAATATGTCTAAAGGGCCCTGCGCAAGAATGTGCTTGGCCTGCATGAGATGGTCAACCTCCATACTCTGGTGTTAACGGGACGCAATGTAGAGGACAACTCTGAAACTCTAATACACGTGGTGGAATGACTGTGTGATTAGGGGAGTGGCCAAATTGAGTTAGTTGATTTTCAGGGCATGATGTGACGAACCACTTTCCGGGCCGTGGGACTTTCTGCGCGATGACAATGAGGGGTCCTGAGATAGGAAGGTTGGACAAATTGCGGGAGGAGGGGTCGGTGGGTAAATTGCGCCAGTGTCCTCGCTTCCTTCTTTTCCTTCACTTCGCTCCTCCCCCTTCGGCAGTGATGGGACAGGGCCGGGACAGACGGTTGAGTGTGCGCGCCCAGATCAATAACGGTGGGCGATGGTTCTTTCTTTCCTTTCAACTAAGGACGAGCCCCCGAGGGCTCTCGGAATTTTGATTTCTTTTTGCTTTTCTTCCATCTCGTTGGAATTTTTCTGTTGCAATCTCGAGTTCAGATGGGAATTTAGGACTTTTTGAAATTCTTGTCGAGCGGCGCCTTTTTCTTGCGCACATCTTTCTGCGGCGGGAACGAAGTTCTGACGAAGCGGCGCCCTTAATCTTGCATGCAAATGAATCGTTGGGCGGGCGTCATTGTTACTGTATCTCTCTTCTTGTTCCCTCGCCTTCTTCCCACCCTTTTTCCTTCTTTTCGCTGCGTTTAATTGGCCTGAGCGCTGCATGCCTAGATCGATGCATGGAGAGTGGCTACGTCCCCCACGCCGCGATCTGGCCATGCCAAGCTTAGGCACTTCCTTCTCTGCTCCTCTTTCTTGCAATCCCGCATCTTTGCGCACGCATGCATACTATAAATTTTGTCAGCGCGATTAGATAGCTCTCTAAAAATTCTGGAAGCTCGAGGTTAGCGCGATCAGTGAGGGTCGGCTAACGAGCGAAGTAAGAGGTGAGTTGACGTGGGAGTTGGGCGACCCGACGAGCTGGTGCCAAGTGCGCGGGGTTGACGTGTAGGCCACGACGAACTGTGGTGCACAGGCGAACCTGACGGGCGCATGCGGACTAAGCGGG